GACTCAAAACATCCAAAACAAATTCCTCCCAGAGCTATGCCCAGCCTACAGCCGACTCACCCTCAAGGCTCTCTCTCCCCCGTGCTCCTCCAGCAGATCCTGAGAGAAGTCTCGTGCAGGTCTGTGCTTCCTCCTGGGATGGTAGCCAAGGGGGTGACGAAGGGAAGAGGCAGGTTTGTTCCCCTCGGCCCAGTGAGCCGCTCTCTCTGGCATCTTATCTGCATAAAGGCAGACCCGAGCAAGAAAACATGCCTGCCTTGTACCTCCACCCCGCATGCTCAAGGTCTACACAAAGGAAGACTGCCAGAGGCTGGGGTGTGGTGGTAAGTGCATGCCATAATCCCAGCAACGGAGACAGGAGGATGCTTGATTCCGAAGCTTGATTGAAGTCCAGGCAACACAGTGAAAAACAAGCTATCTGGGTATAGTGGTGCACACCTGTAATCTCAGCTCTGGGGAGGTAGAGGCAGAGGGATCATGAGTTCAAGGCCATCCTTAGCTATATAATGAGTTTGAGGCCAGCCTGGGCTATATGAGAGCCTGTCTCAATAACCATGTCTCAGTTTGCTTTCTATTGCTGTGACAAAATGACCAAATGCAACTTGGGGAGGAAAGGGCTATTTTATCTTCCAGCTACAGGCCATCATGGTGGGACATCGGGGCAGGGACGCAAGGCAGGAACCTGGCGGCAGGAGCTAAACCAGAGACCACGGCGCTTACCTGCTCCTTTGGCTTTCTTAAACCCAGGACCACCTGCCCGGGGTGTGTGTGTGTATGTGTGTGTGTGTGTGTGTGTGTGTGTGTGTGTGTTGGCACCATCCACAACTGAGCTAGGCCCTCCCATATCAATCATTAATTAAGAAAATGCTCCACAGACCTGCCTACCAGCCAATCTGATGGAGGCCTTTTCTCAAGTGAGGTTTCCCCTTCTCAAGTGACTCCAGCTTGTGTCAAGTTGAGAAAACAAACAAGTAAAACAAAACAAAATAACAAAAAACAACTAATCAGGACAGTTCCGTGGTGAGGTATCCACCTGAGAAGACGACTTGGCTGCACTTGTAAGCCAATCAAGTCTTGATTAGCTGGCTGGCAACTGCATTTGGAGTCCCGATAGCAGTGAGCCTTTCTCGGGGTGAGCTTTTAAGCACAAAAACCATGTTCTGGGTTGACATACTTCAGTTAACAAGAGCAGTTAGCCAGAATCGGAACTACAGAAGCTAAAAAGCAATTCAGAGACTTTCCCCAGGACTAGGACTTTGATGGATCAGCTCTTTGTTCTCATTTTGGTAGGGTGCTGTCTGTGTGCTGCGTTTTACAGCTCGAATGGTAGCTCCATCATGGAGTCAGTTGTGCTAAGGTCTGGGGCCATTAAGGTCTGGGGCTTGCTAAATTACCAAAAACCAAACCTCAGCAAAGTAGCCCTGGGTCTGGGGTGTGGTTCAGAGAGCACATGCCCAGCATGTGAGGCCTGGATTCCATCCATAACACCAGACCTGGATGTACCCCAAATATAATGTTTACAAGCTAATTCCTGCCTCTAGGGGTCACTACCTCCCACAACCATTTCACTCCTGAAATCTGTCTACATTTCTCCTCTATGGAAAAAGAAACACACAAGTTATGAATTATGCTGGCCTAATGGGTAATTTCATGGATAATCTTTCTGATATAGCAATTTTGCATATTCTATAACAAATCTGTCTTTGCCAGTTTGTTCTAGAAAACCTTGGAATTGTTTGACTTTGGTGACTATACCCTGGCACAATGTGCCCAGGCAAGCTCATGCCCTGTGCCCCGGCTGTCTGCCAGGAGGAAAAGTGATAAGAAGGACCAGAGGGTGGGAGGGCCTGCCTCCTTCTCTGGCAGCATGGGTGTAAGAAATTGTCAGGAATTCTTGCATAAATAGAGGCATCAATGGAGTAAGTATTAGGCTGGATAGATTGTTCAGTGGTTAAGAGCACTGGCTGCTCTTCCAGAGGATCCAGGTTCAATTTCCAGCACTCACATGGCAGCTCACAACTGTCTGTGATTCCAGACCCTGGGGACCCCCGATGCCCTTTTCTGGCCTCTCCTTGGAGGAGGTATGCAATGGTGCACAGACATACATGTAGGCGAAACACCCATACACATAAAAATAATTAAAATTTAAAAAGGACGGAGGCTGGGGAGATGGCTCAGAGGTTAGAGCACTGGCTGCTCTTCCAGGGGACCCAGGTTCAGTTCCGAGCACCCACATGGTGGCTCACAACTTCCTGTAACTCCAATTCCAGGGATCTGATCCCTCTTCTGACCTCCAAGAGTTCTGGGCATGCACAAGGACACACAAGCAGGCAAAACACGAATACATAAATAAAACATTTTAAAATTAGCCAGGTGTGGTGGTATCTTTAATTCAGCACTCAGGAGGCAGAGGCAGGCACATCTCTGTGAGCTCAAGGCCAGCTTGGTCTACAGAGTGAGTTCTAGGACACCAGAGCTACATAGTGAGACCTTGTCCCAGAACAAAAAATAGTTCTCTCTTTTGGGGTCATCACTGATGACCATGGCTGTGCCTGGGCTCTCAACTGTGGTGTCTTCTGTGTAGGGCCAGACAGAAACTGGAATCTTCAGGATGGCTTCAAGGCTGACTTGCACTGGAGGTGACATCCTGGGTCACAGGCTTTCTCCAGGTGTCTTTGTGTGACGTGCTGGGGTCATTTTGGTCTCATTGTTACCTAGTTACGACAACTGAACTTGGGAGGCCAGCGTTGACACCCAGTGATATAATTATTAGCAGGAGGGAGGCTGTGCTTGCAATCTAGTCTCTCTCCAGAGCCTGGAGGCTTATGTACCCTCTTTTCTCTTTTCCTTTTTAATGACCTGGGTAAACATGCACTCAAGGAAAATACTCTATGCTGAGACACACCTCCAGCCCTTGCCTGCTTCTCATTTCCATCAGTTTCTTCTTTCTTTGTATGTGTGCATATGTATATATGTGTGTGTGCACGCGCGCATTTTTGTGTGTGTGTGTGCATGTGTGTGTTCTTGTGCGCGGGTGTGTGTGTGTGTGTGTGTGCATGTGTATGATGTGGGGGCCAAGGATAACATCAGGTGTTGTTCCTCCAGTACCATCCACCTTGTTCTTTTGAGAAAGGGTCTCTCCTGGGACCTGGGCCTCGGTGATTAGACTGGCTGTCCAGGAAGACCCGGGGGTCCTCCTCTCTCTGCCTCCCACAACATCACACTTTACTTTTTCAGTGGGTGCCAGGACTTGAACTCTCATAATCACTCAGCAAGCACTTTACCCACTGAGACAGCATGTCTGTGGGGAATTACCTTGCTTGCCTTAAAAGACGTGGGAAGCCCCAGCATGAAAGTGAGCAGTGCCATTCTCTGGTTTGGGCTTAAGATTAGTAAGCTTGCTTGCAGCCATCACTCTGTTCTCTTCTGTGGATGTGATACGAGCAGCTGGTTTGAGTTTCTGCAGCTGTGACTTTCCTGAAACAATGGACTATGTGTGACCTGAATTTATAAGTTAAATAAACCTTTTTTCTATGTTGCTTTTTTTCTGTTTGTTTGTTTTTGTTTTTGAGACACTATGTCGCCATGGCTTGCCTGGAACTCTCTGTGTAGAGTAGGCTGGTCTTGAAGACCCAGACGCTAAGATTAAAGGGGTGTGCCACCAGGCTTGGCTCCTAAGTTGCTTTTGTCACGGTATTTTATTACAGCCACAGAAATGACACCAGGACACAGATGCATGCCAGGCTGGCCCCTGGAACACACAGCCCCAGAAGAAAGTGGAGTATGTAGAGCTCTGCTGGGGAATCCGTGAGAACAAGAGGTCATCCTGTTAGATGTCCATCGGACAAGGGCAGCAAAAGGCCACGAAGCACAGGGACAGTGTAGAGCAGGGAAGAGCAGCAAGCTGCATTTTCTGCAGGGAGAAGGTTGGAGAGAGCTTGGGAGACAGGGAAAAAGCACCAGGT